ACTCTCTCCATAGATACGATGCTGGACTTGTCCATCCTCACCATTGATGATGTGATAGGCCATCTGCGGGCGGTGGACGAGCGCATGGAGCAGGCCATAGCAACGACAAACAGCGGCAAGCTGCTCCTGATAGAGGAGGAGTGGGCTGCCCGGATGAAGGAGAAGAAGTCCGGGGAAGCCTCCTCCAGCCGCGGTGGCGATGGCAAGTACCACGACAAGGCTTCTTTGGGGAAGAAGAAGAAGAAGGTCGACCCCAATGCCTGTCGGCGTTGCGAGAAGATGGGCCATTAGGCAAAGGAGTGCTCAAATCGCAAGCAGGAGAAGAAGGCTGAGGCTCATTTAACACAGGTTGATGAGGATGATGAGGCCACTATCCTGATGGCGAGGTTCTGTGCACTGCACGATGTTGAGGCCAAGGCTCTGAAGGCTATCAACCTCGACGAACCACGCGCCTAAGTCCACCTTGGACGTGTGGGCGGCAAGCAGGAGCAACGGTGGTACCTGGACTCTGGGGCCAGCAACCACATGATGGGCTCTAAGGAAGCCTTCTCTGAGCTTGACGGTAACGTGACCGGCACGGTGAAGTTCGGTGATGGCTCAAGGATGGTGATCCAAGGGCGCGGCACCATCATCTTTAGATGGTAGAACGGTGAGCACCACGCGCTGATAGATGTAAATTACATCTTGCAGTTGTGTTCAAGCATCATCAGCATTGGCCAGCTGGATGAGCGCGACAGCGAGGTACTAATCAAGGACGTCGTCTTCAGGATCAGGGACCGAGAACAGCGCCTTTTTGCCAAGGTGAAGAGGTCCCAGAACCAGCTGTACCTGCTCGACTTGAAGGTGGAGCAGCTGGTGTGCCTAGCAACATGGCACACCGAGGAGCCATGGCTGTGGCATGCCCAGTTCGGCCATCTTAGCTTCGACGCGCTCGGTCGGCTGGAGAAGATGGTTCGAGGGCTACCCCACATCAAGCACACAGACGATCTATGTGACAGCTGCCTGGCCGGGAAGCAGAGGAGGTTGTCGTTCCCAAAGGCGACCAAGTATCACGCGGCGGATGCTCTCGAGCTCGTCCACGGCGATCTCTTTGGGCCAATCACGCCAGCTACAAACGGTGGTTGGCGGTACTTCCTCCTGCTCATGGATGATTGCAGTTGCTATATGTGGCTGCAACTTCTGACAAGCAAGGATGAGGCGGCGGAGGCGATTAAGAAGTTCAAGGCGCGCGCGGAGGCAGAGAGCGGCAAGAAGCTACGCGTGCTGTGGACTCATCGTGGCGGTGAATTCACTTCGGTGGAGTTCGTTGTGTACTACGCGGATCAGGGTGTGGTGCGACACCACACCGCGCCGTACTCGCCATAGCAGAATGGCTTGGTGGAGCGGCGGAACCAGATGGTAGTCGGCATGGCTCGATCCATGATGAAGGCCAAGAGCATGCTGGCAAGATTCTGGGGTGAGGCGGTGACCACGATGGTGTTCATCCTCAACGACGCGCCCACAAAGGCCCTGAAGGGCATGACGCCGTTCGAAGCTTGGTATGGGCGCAAGCCGAGCGTGTCCTTCCTCCGGACATTCGGCTGCATTGGCCACGTCAGGAAGATGAAGCCGGTCCTCACCAAGCTGGAGGACAGAAGCACACCGATGGTGGTCCTGGACTACGAGGAAGGTACCAAGCCGTACCGGCTCTATGACCCACGCGGAGGCAAGGTGGTTGTCTCACGCGATGTCGTGTTCGATGAGAAGGCGGCCTGGGACTTGGACACTCCGGGCATGGGGAAAGCTGGCGGCTTCACCAGCACCTTCATCGTCGAGCACTTGATCATCCACGGTGGTGGAGACGCTAGAGAGGAGGTGCCAACCACTCCAGCAACAGAGCCAAGCACTCCTGGGGCGGTGCCGAGCACTCCAAGAGGGGTACCGAGCACACCAGGAGTGGTGCCAAGCGGTCCTGCAGTGGTGCCGACCACTCCAGGATGGGTGCCGAACGCTCCTGTAGCGGAGCCGAGAAGTCTTACAGTGGTGCCAACCACTCCAAGACTGGTGCCAAGCACTCCTAAGGCGGTGCCGAGCACTTTGAGAGGGGTACTGAGCACTATAGGAGTGGTGCCGAGCACTCTCAGGTGCTGTGCCGACCACTCCGACGGAACAGGGGACTCCATCGATGCTGATCGAGTTTGCCTCACCTCCAAGCGACATCATAGAGTTCGTGGATGCTTTCCACGACAGTGAGGAGGTGCAGTTTCGTAGGCTGGACGACATCATCGGTGGCACAGGGTCCTCAGGCCTGGCGGGTCGGCTGCTAAATGACCCAAAGCTGCTTCACATCAGTGCAGAGGAACCACCCACATTCGCGCTGGCCGAGCGCAATGCAGATTGGCGACGGGCAATGCTGGAGGAGATGAAGGTGATTGAGGAAAATGAGACTTGGGAGCTCATCGATCCACCTCCAGGATATCATCCAATTGGCCTGGAGTGGGTGTACAAGGTCAAGCGGGACAAGCGAGGCGCCATTGTCAAGCACAAGGCGCGCCTCATCGCCCGAGGCTTTGTCCAGCGCGAGGACATCGACTTTGAGGAAGTCTTTGCGCCGGTAGCGCGCATGGAGTTTATCCGACTGCTGCTGGCTTTGGCAGCAGTGAAGGACTGGCGCGTCCATCATGTAGACGTAAAATCGGCCTTCCTCAATGGCGAGCTAGCAGAGACCGTCTTCGTTAGGCAACCTCCGGGTTTTCACCGTCAAAGGAGCGGAGCACAGGGTGCTACGACTGCGCAAGGCGCTCTATGGGCTGCGGCAGACCCCGTGAGCGTGGAACGCCAAGCTTGATGCCACGCTGGGCGAGCTTAGGGTCACGCGATGCTCAACCGAGCACGCGCTCTACACGCGACAATGGGGGAAGGAGGAGCTCATCGTCAGCGTGTATGTGGATGACTTGATCCTCACCGGCACGCGTGCAGATAACATCGATAGCTTCAAGCGTGAGATGGTGGCTCATTTTTGAATGAGTGATCTCGGCGCGCTCTCCTACTACCTCAGCATCGAGGTGAGACAGGAGAAGGAGGCGCTGACGCTCGGTCAGAGCGCGTACACCTCGAAGCTGTTGGAGTGAAGCGGTATGAATGAGTGCAAGCCGTGTGTGACTCCGATGGAGGAGCGGTTGAAGCTGACGAAGGCCAGTACTGTGGCAAGGATAGATGCAACACTCTACCAGAACATCATCGGTAGTCTACGCTACCTAGTCCACATGAGGCCGGACATTGCGTTCACCATGGGCTACGTCAGCTGCTTCATGGAGGATCCCCGAGAGGATCACTGGGCCACGGTGAAGCGGCTGCTGCATTACGTCAAGGGTACGGTGGATCAACGGATCGTCTTCCCCAACACCGGTGGAAGTGGGCTGCAGCTCACTGAGTTCAGCGATGCAGACATGGCGGGGGACATCGACGGACGGCGGAGCACCTCTGGCGTGCTCGTCTTCCTCGAGTCGGCTCCAATCTCATGGCCGTCGCTGAAACAAAAGGTGGTGGCGCTGTCCACGTGCGAGAGAGTACGTGGCGGCGGCCACAGCGGCGTGCCAAGATGTGTGGCTACGCCGGCCGCTGGGCGAGCTGACCGGTGTGGAAGCTCACCCACCAGCACTGATGGTGGACAACCAGCCCGCCATCGCCCTCGCAAAGAATTCGGTTCTCCACGACCGGAGCAAGCACATCGATATTAAGTTCCACTTCCTCAGGGAATGTGTCGATGGAGGGCAGATCGTCATCGAGTTCGTCGAAACTGGTCGGCAACTCGCGGACGTCCTTACCAAGCCGCTCGGCCACCTTTGGTTCACGGAGCATGGTGAAGGTTCTAGGGTTAGTAGCAGGATTAGTGAAAGAATTGTAAAGTAATCTGCTGCTCTCCCATCTCTGAACGGGCGGCAGGGGCAGGGGCCGAAAGGGCTCCCTGCTGCTGCACTATAGCCGCGGTAGGGGTAGACGTCGAAAGGCTCCCCTTTTGCACTGTAGCTACAGCAGGGGCAGGTGCCAAAGTCAGCCCTGTTGTCACATCTAGTCACTATAACAGCATGACAGCCTGGCATGTTGGTGTACTAGGATTAGATGGGTAGAGTTGTATATGTAGCTTCCCACTGCAACTCAGTAAAGAGAGCGAGTTTAGTTTTACTATCTCCTCTGTAGAGCTCCGGCCAACGCTGGTGCTTGTACTATGTGTATGCGCGCTCTGTTCTCCATCCCTCTTCTACCTCCGGTCGTAGTGTGTGGTCGACAACGACGGTGAGCAGTCGGCTCTTCCGTACGGGAGATCTCAGGACCAACAGAGGCGGCCGCTGGCGCTGGGTCGGTGGTGACCACCCCCGAGCAGTGGCGGACCCAGCGGGTAGTCCAGGTAGGCCCGGGACTACCCGCAAATTTGGCCTAGACATTTTCTAATACTTCGCAGAGCCCACGAAAAGTTTGGCCCAAGCGCTCGCCATCTCGCCCCCTGGTACGATGGCGCGACCGCAGCCCTCGACCTCGACTTTTCCAGGTGCGAGCAAGTAGCGAGTAGCGACCGCCGAGCCCCGAGGCTCGAGCACGGGTCCCTCGCCGTCCGCCGCCCTGCCCCGACTGCCGGCTGCCGCCCCCGCGTGGTCATTGCCTCGCCAAGCGGCACCCCCACCGGCCGCTGCCCCCGTGTGGCCGTGCCCGCACGCACAGGCACAGGCACGGTGCTCTGCGTCTCCGCCAGTCCACCGGCGCCCCGCCGGCCGCGGCGCGCCTAGCAGCTGGCCGGCTTCCCAATCGACCGCAGTCCAGCGCCGCCCGCCCGCGGACATGCCAAGTGACGGTGAGGCGCAGGCGGCTAGGCGAGCCCGCGGAGCGCGAGCGAGGCGAAGACCGCTGAGCGGACGCGATAGTGCCTAGGAGGAAGGGGCGTGGCTGTGGAGAAGGAGGAGGAAGGGGAGTCCGGCGAAGAGCAGTCGAGCAGCGTGTGGAGGTCCTCCTGTCGAGCGGCGACGATGGAGATCCGAATGGGAAGGAGAGAAGAGATTTTGTGGTCAGCGGCAACACCACGAGAGCGAGCGAAGCCCCTTCCTCCTTATTAGCTTGATGACATCACCCTTATGTCACGCCTAAATACGGTCATTTTCCTTTAAGACAATAAATACAGATGTACATAAGGCATCCTTAGCCATCCATCGTAAGATCTGTGGCCACGATTGACAGAACCCATACCCCTTCGTGGTGGACACGGTCCAGCACCCTCATCCCGCCGCTGGTCCACAGCCCGTGTACTGGGTGCGTAGCATAGTGCATGCACGTTTCTCAATCTAACCTCTACCTTTATTCGATATGCACATACTATTCTCTGAGTCTCTACCCTGCCATCTATAGTGAACTACAAATAGTTCGTGTTCTCTTTTATATCCGTGTTCTCGAATTTGCTATAGGAATTTACCGTATTGCATATAAAAAATTTGACTAGGACTACCCTCGGTTCAAATCCTGGGTCCGCCACTTGCCCCGAGGAGTTCAAGTGGATGCTGGACGAGCTGTTCCTGCTCAACGGCGTGCTCAACATCGGCGACTCCATCCCATGGCTCGACTGGATGGACCTGCAGGGGTACATCAAGAGGATGAAGAAGCTCAGCAAGATGTTCCACCGGTTCCTGGAGCACGTCGTGGAGGAGCACAACCAGTGGCGGCTGCGCGATGGCAAGGACTTCGTCGCCAAGGACATGGTCGACGTGCTGCTGCAGATCGCCGACGACCCGACCCTTGAGGTCGAGCTCGACAGGGAAAGTGTCAAGGCTTTTACCCAGGTGAGTTATTCTGTTTTTTGTGAGAGATGCTGAGTCTATTCGTCCTGTTTTACTCGCGAGCATATCTGCAAACACGGTCATTTCAGATAGTTAAACAACTTCAATAATACACGCCATTTAGATTAGTTGAAGTAGACAGTGACAAAAACTAGTTTTAATAGGAAGTACGTACACATGTGGCCATATCATCAAGTGAGGAGCGAAAACGTGTGTAGCTAATGAATACAGTGTTTATTTTAAGCCTGCCAGACTAGCTCCGTTGTTTATATATCCAAACCTCTGAAGAACCTTGAGATCCACGCGAGTATCGTTGGAAGCAGTGATCCACGTACTGACCGTTTGGCCATCTGTCTGAACTGCTCCGAGGCTAGGGCTTGCTGTTTTTTTTTTCACCAACTTGCCTTGACTGGCGTTTCATTCAGAGGAAGAGGCTTGGACCTTAGGGCTAGCTGATAGATACGTCCCACCAAATCAAAACCAAGTGTTTAATAATTTCTACTGTACAAGTAATAGACAAGTGTGAACTGACAGATACACTGACAGATACGGCGACCGGAGCATCGTTGATCGTCCCCCTTTGCTCAAAATGTTGGCGCCACATAAAAATGTTGGCGCATGTTGCACACATTTGTTTTTGTTCACTTACACCTACTTTGATGAGCTGTACCGATTTCGTTTCCTCGTGCACTATAGCTTCTCATGGAGCGAAAGGATCTCACCGCACTACCATCTCGAATGGCACGCGCAGGACCTCATCGCCGGTGGCACGGAGAGCTCGGCGGCCACGGTAGAGTGGGCCATCACGGAGCTCCTCAAGAAGCCCCAGGTCATCGCCAAGGCCACGGAAGAGCTGGACCGCGTCATCGGCCGCGGCCGCTGGGTGACAGAGAAGGACATGCCCAGCCTCCCCTACGTCGACGCCATCGTCAAGGAGACCATGCGTCTGCACCCGGTGGCACCGCTGCTGGTGCCCCGCCTTGCTCGCGAGGACACGACCGTGGCCGGCTACGACATCCCCACCGGAACGCGCGTGCTCGTCAGCGTCTGGTCCATCGGCCGCGACCCCGCGCTGTGGGACGCGCCGGAGGAGTTCATGCCGGAACGATTCCTCGGCAGCAGGCTCGACGTGAAGGGGCAGGACTACGAGCTGCTGCCGTTCGGGTCCGGCCGCCGGATGTGCCCCGCGTACAGCCTCGGCCTCAAGGTCATCCAGGTGAGCCTTGCCAACCTGCTGCACGGCTTCACGTGGAGCCTTCCCGGTGGCATGACCAAGGAGGAGCTCAGTATGGAGGAGATCTTCGGCCTGTCCACACCGCGCAAGTTCCCGCTCGAGGCTGTCGTCGGGCCCAAGCTCCCTGCACACCTCTATTCGGAGGCTTGATGCGTGCCAGCGTGCGCGCGCCTCTTCACTCTTCAGTATAGGCGTCGAGCTTGCGATGCTGGCTTGCTGCGCAGTGTAGGCTTGTTGCTCGTGTTTTTATTGCTGGTGGTGTCGCTTTGTCGGTTTTTACTCAAGCAGTCAAGCTTGGATCGTGTTGCCCTCTTTGTTTATTTCCTGTATTATTAAATTGGTTGGCCAAATATTTTGCTGAACTTTCAAAGAAAAAAGAGGGCAGCTGCGGACACACGTGTAAGGCCTTCGGCCAATCGCAGCCTAACGAGCGTAAATCGTAATAAAAAATAATAAATAATGTATGGAGTACGATTTTTTTTCTTAAACGTAAAATTGCTCCACGAAATAGGAGTATCTAGTTATCTATTGTCGGATTTTTTTGTCAAATCTGTCATATTTTTAATAAATATGATCAAGTAGATAGTTGTAGCACAAATACTAAAGCAGAATCAAACATATAGAAATACGACAGATTTAGTAAAAAAAACTGTCTAAATAGAAAAAGTCAATATTATATTCATATTGGGCTTTGCTATTAACAGGTATACCGCCTACTATTGGAACTATATTATTATAAATATCAAGGTTTGGAGATCTGTCATTACCATTACAATTCGCTCTCTACTTGTACCATTACCATCACTACTGGAGACGCGCTCTTTGTCGAGTGCCTGGGGCACTCGGCAAAGGCCCTATTGCACTCAGCAAAGACTTTGCCGAGTGCCATACTCGGCAAAGAGCAAACGGCAAAGCCGCATCCGGCGAAGGGTTCTTTGCCGAGTGCCGTTTGTCGGGCACTCGGCAAAGAAAATTGGCCATCAGCCGTTGACGGCGTCTTTGCCGAGAAGTCTTGGTCAGAAGGCACTCGCAAAGCTTTTCCTTTTTTTTTTTTGAAAAATCCTTTGCCGAGTGCCTTCGACGACGACACTCGGCAAAGAAATTTTTTTTGAAAAATTCTTTGCCGAGTGTGCTCTTCGATCCGCACTCGGCAAAGAAAAAATATTTTTTAAAAAAAATTTGCCGAAAGTGCCTAGTTGAGACAAAGACTCGACAAAGAAAAATATTTTTTTGAAAAATTCTTTGCCGAAAGTGCCGTCAGTCACCGGAAACACATGGTAGTGTACATTATTTTGCCGAGTGCCGTGTCACTGCACTCGCAAAGAGACTGAGTAGCGCATTTTTTAGGCTTTTTGCCGAAAGTGCCGTAGGCAAAAGGCACTCGGTAAAAGGCTCTTTGCCGAGTGTTACATTCGCAAAGTGACCAAAATTTTTAGTTTTTTGTTTTTGCTTTCGATCACTTCAAACACAACATATGGCATATATATCACATCCATCACATATATACCACATCCAAAGCACCTTATATGTCACAATCCATCACACATACCACATGAATCACATCCGCTCACCACATGTCACAAGAATTCCATCCATTATTCGACAGATTCCACATCATTCAACAAGTAGTTCAAATCCATCACCACATGTCACAATAACACATGCATGACAACAACATTGTCTCGGACGAAAATCCATTGCGAAGAGAACAAGACATGAAACTACAAGCGCTACTCACTGGGCGGCCCTTGATGTGGCCATCCTGGCGACGACGGGAAGGAAACATCCGGTCGCTCAGAGTGCCCCGAAATGGGTTGTTCGAACCCACCACTCGAGGCTGCACACAGGAGAAGAGATTGATTGCATGAGACAAGATTAGTTGAATAGCGATTGTAGCAATTCCTTGCATGTGTGACATTACTCACCGGAGTAGCGGAGTGAGGAGGCTGAGGTGGACCCATTAACCCAGGAGGCATAGCAGCACCCGTCGTAGTTTTCATCCGAGCAATAATGTCCGCCAACCTTTTCTCCTGGGCGAGTTTATCGCCCTCCCCTGCTGCCCGCTTCGGCCAACCCCAGCTCTCCAGCTCCTAGGCCCTCCCTGTTTGCTTCTTCCACCTGGGCCTACAAATTGTTGCAAAGCTAATGTTACAATAATGCAAAGGAAATAGAGTTGTGTAAAGATCAATGTACGACGAGTAAAACATGAATAACCTAGAGTGTGTCGGCCCGGTGCTGTGAAATGCTCGACCGTGAGCGTATCGCTGGGAGTGAGGAGGCTGTCGTGCTCTGTGCTCGGATCTGGGAGAGAGTGGGAGTAGAGGCCGTGTCGATCACACTGTCGCCAATCCAGTAGCGGCCATGCTTCTTGCCTTGTCCAATCCTCATGACGGTGTTTGCGTCAATGTTGTCGGTCCGTGGATCATACTCCGGCCCATGGATCAACCTTGCCGCCGCCGTGTACTCCGTGATTTTCTCGTAGGCGCTCGAGTTTGTGTACACCTCGGCCGGGTTGTCTGGGTTGAAGGAGACGTCGGACGACGCCTTGCCCTTGTGTGCCATGGCAAATGCGGCGAAGTTGGAGCACTCTTGGCCTTGATGTGTCGCCGACTGCAAGAACGAAAACAAGATGATTAGAATTCTTTGCCGAGTTCAACGAAAGCAAGAAGAATAGAAACATGACCACGTACCCATGCTCGGGCGTATCCGAAGAGGTTGCGGTTGCCTTAATGGTGTGATACACCTGGCATGAACAAACGCCGCTGCCGGGCAGCCGCGTGCTGAGTGGCCCACTCCGCGCTTAACCACCTGTCCACCATCTTCGCCCAAGCCACCGGGCACCCGTTGCACCACCAAGGAATCACCTACACGTCATCAAGTAGTTGACATATTAGAAAAACAAGTGATTCGTACTTAATCTCAAAAGGAACCAATTTTAATGTTCTTTAGCTACCTCAAGGAATTGGGGTTTGGTCAGCGTCAAGTCTTGTTCTCGGATGTCCTTCTTGGTGACCTTCTGTCCGAGCTTCGTCCCATAGTAATCTATGATGGCCTGGAGTCGCGCCTCATGATGGACGTCGACGACGCGTTTCCTGCAAGCTCGTTTAGCCACTGCCTCCGCCGTGCCCTCGAATCTGTCGTCAAGTTTGAAGTACTCCTGCATATACAGACACGATGTATGCATTAGTTATTTCAAGTATAGTCCAATGAGTGCGTTGTATTGAGCCATGTAGTGCGAGGAAGACTTACCCAGAACTCCCGAATGACGAGCGCAGCCACGGTGCCTGCTTCCACGTGGGGGCGGACTCGTAGTGGGCAAACGTGAAGGCAGGCTCGAGGTTCCCAACATGCATGACCATGCCAGGGAAGTGTCTCCTGCACAGGAGACCTAGGATGCCATTGACATGGCGGGAGGCAGTGTTCCCCGACACAATCTCCCACCCCCTGCAGAAGTGATTAAGAAAACATATTAGTCTCTATTTCAATATCGAACATAGCATATGAAGTAAAAGTGATAACATGCAAAGGCACTTACCTTTGCCCCTCTGGGCGAATCACTGGGTGTAGACGAGTATGCGGTCGGTCAAGGAGGGCGGAGGGTCCTCGCAAGTAGACACCTGACGAACTAGAGGAAGCGGTAGCTCCCGTCCCGCCCCCGTCCTCGTCCTCATCCGTCTCCTTCCTGGACCGGCGTCTCCTCCTCCTCGCCCGCCTCCTGCTGCACCTGCTCCTCCTCCTGCTGCTGCTGTTGGACCGTGGGCGTGGTCCTCCTGTTCCTCTTGGTCATCGTCCTCGTGCTCCTCCGCCTCGTCGAAGACGTCCCCTTCCTCCTCGCCCCCTCCGCTGGAGGCTCCTACACCAGAGGCTCCATGGTAGAACGAGCTCAGGTTCCTCTGCCGGCCGCCCAGCATTTTTGTTCAGTCACCTGCAATTAAAAAGAAGAAAGAAGTAATTAGAAATAGATGCAAAATAAACAAAACAAAACAAAATTACAAAATTACAAAGTATTACATGTATGTTACAAATAATCTTCATGATCGGGATTAGCTGGATCGTAAGTCTCATCATCACTATCAACCATGTCAAAATAATCAACACTATCCGATGGAGGAATGTTGTCTTCATTGTCATTGCCTACACGTAATCGCTCAAGCATTTGTAAGTCCTTTGCATTTTGCACTTCATCTCCATCGTCATCATCATCAACCATTACATTGTCTACATCCATTCCTATCTCGCCGGTTAAGTCTATCTCAAACCTCCCTTGTAGCCCATCTTCTTGATAGAACTCTCCGTCATACGTGCTTGGGTTGAAGTTGTAATCTTCATCGTTTGGGACAGGTAGTCGGCCGTGTGGCGAGACCTTGTGCACAACAAACCAACCACTAAGATCCGGTCTAGTCTTGCAAGCATATGACGTATAATAAACTTGTGTGGCATGTTGCACCACAATGTACACATCGTCTCTTGGATAGACGAAATCCTGTCGAATTTCGACTAGACCAAGATGAGGGGTCTTCCTCGTTACTCCCGGATCAAACCAATGGCATCTGAATACGACAGGATAAAGATTTGTGCTACCACGGAATGAAAGTTCGTATATTTCTTCAATTCTTCCATAATAGTCTACGCCATCAGTGCCGGGCGTAAAAACCCCTCTATTTGTGGATCTTCGATTGGGCCGCCTCTGCTCGTAGCTTCCTGTGTGAAATCGATATCCATTCACGTCGTAGGTGTCCGATGACTTGACCCTTTGGTCACAGCCGTTGGCAACCTGTCTCAACTCTAAGACCGATAGACGATCGGTTCGGGCCTCGCAAGTGAAGCAGATACATCGTTATATTAATCGACGTATAAGCAACAACAACAAACGGGGCTAAATTGGACGGTACCTTGGTTTTGAACCAGGAAATAAAATCGGGGCTCCCTTGTCCCGCACCCTTGGAAAGAAGGGTATCACATTCCGGCGGGGTTGGTTCCCTTGAATGGGGCCAGTATTCATGAATGAATTCCCTGTAATGACAAACAAGGGGGTTGGATGTAGAATAGTGCGGGATTATTGAAACAAGTCCGTTGAGAACTTATGCAATATATGGGTCCACCTCTTCAAGGTTGGTCAAGACACATATAACATGATTTTGTGCCACTCC